CCCCCCCCCCTCTCAAGGTGAGGTCCCCGGCTCGCCCATCTTCATCATGAAGCTCGCCACACAGTCCCGCCACCTGGAGGTTCAGGTCCTGGCCGACCAGCATGGCAATGTCATGACCCTCTTCAGCCGTGACTGCTCGGTCCAGCGCCGGCACCAGAAGATCATCGAGGAGGCGCCGGTGACCATTGCCCCGACTGCTTCCTTCGAGGCGATGGCTGCCTCGGCCAAGCGCCTGGCCTCGCTGGTGGGCTACCAGTCGGTCGGCACCGTGGAGTATCTGTATGTGCCGGAGGAGGATCGCTTCCTCTTCCTGGAGCTGAATCCCCGCCTGCAGGTGGAGCACCCCTGCACGGAGATGATCAGCGGGGTGAACATCCCGGCGGCCCAGCTCCAGGTGGCCATGGGCATTCCGCTGCATCGGATCGGCGACATCCGGGCCTTCTACGGGCTGGAGCCGGCCGGCGAGTCGGCCATCGACTTCGAGGCCTCCTTCCAGGAGGGTGTCAACCCGGTCACCGGCCAGGTGAAGCCCACCCCCCGGGGGCATGTGGTGGCCGTGCGCATCACGGCCGAGAACCCGGAGGCCGGGTTCAAGCCCTCCTCCGGCAATCTGTACGAGCTGAATTTCCGGTCGTCGCACAACATTTGGGGCTACTTCAGCGTGGCGGCCGGCGGCAGCCTGCACGAATTCGCCGACTCGCAGTTCGGTCATATTTTCGCCCATGCGCCCACTCGTGAGGAAGCCCGCCGGCGTATGATCGTGGCGCTGAAGGAGATCTCCGTGCGCGCGGACTTCCGCACCACCATCGAGTACCTGGTCAAGCTCCTGGAGACCGAGGACTTCAAGGGCAACCGCTTTGACACGAGCTGGCTGGACCAGCTGATCACCAACAAGGTGCGTCGGCGGCGCATCCTCCTCGTCTTTCCCTTGTGCCTTTTTTTTCTTTCCCTCCCCTTTTGTGGTCTATCATCATGGCCGGGCGCAGATGGCGCCCCCCTCCCATGTGTCGTCCCCTCTGTCTCCGGGGTATTTTTCTTTTCCCCCCTCCCCCTTTCTCTGTCGCCTGCCGAGCTGACACGCTCCTCCTTCGGTGCCTGGCTTCTTCGCCCTGTCCATCTGCCCGTCCCCCCCCTCTCCCCCTCCTCCCTCTTCCTCCTGATCGGCCGGTCGCTTCCAGCTCACCACCGACCGGCCCGAGCGCTTCACTGCGGTGATCTGCGGCGCGGTTAACCGCGTGAACCAGCTGTACGAGGAGCGCGTGTCCGAGTTCAAGCGCTACCTCAGCCGCGGTCAGGCCCCGAGCGCCGAGCTCCTGAGCACCGACTACTCGGTGGACATCATCTACGAGGGTGTGAAGTACCAGTTCAAGGTCCAGCAAAGCGCCCCCCACGCCTTCAGCCTGATCCTCAATGGCACCCGGGTGTCGGTCAATGCGCGGTCCCTGTCGGATGGCGGGCTGCTCATCCAGCTCGGCGGCCGCAGCCATGTGGTCTACCCCCACGAGGAGATTGGCCTCACGCGGCTGACGATCGACGGTCGGACCTGCACCCTGGAGCATGAGACCGATCCCACCCTCCTGCGGGCCCCCTCTCCGGGCAAGCTGGTGCGCTTTGCCGTGGAGGATGGCGATCATGTGGTCGCCGGCCAGACGTACGCCGAGATCGAGGTCATGAAGATGTACATGTCCCTGGTGGTCGGCGAGTCGGGCATCGTGCGGTTCTCCGTCTCCGCGAAGTGCGTGCTTCTCCATTGGCCCCATCCTCCCCTCCACCCGCGGCTGTCGGTCCTGGTGCTCGGTTCTTCCTCTTTTCCTTCTCCCGGCCCATGGCCCCTTTCGATTGCGCCGCCATTGTTGACCCTTTCTCCGTGTTCGGCTCTCTTTGTTTGCTTCCTTCGTCGGCCCCCGCCCCTCTCTTTGTCCCTCTCTCTGCGCCGCATCCACCTGGATGTGTCTCATCGCCGGGGCGGGGTGCTGCACACAGTGCCGTCCTTCAGGCCGGTGATATCATCGGTGTCCTGACCCTGGACGATCCGTCTCGCGTCAAGGTGGCTCAGCCTTTCACCGGGGAGCTGCCGGACTTCGGCACCCCCTGCCTGACCAAGCTCAAGTCCAACCAGGTGTTCAAGCAGGCCCTGGAGGTTTTGCGCCTGACCATGGACGGGTATGACAACCAGCATGGCCTGGCCGAGCACTTCCGGGCTCTGTTGGCCTCGCTGGCCGATCCATACATGCCGTATTTGGAGCTGGCCGAGCTGCTGGCCGGGCTGCAGTCGCGCCTGCCCCCGGCGGTGGTGGCCCTGCTGCAGCAGACCCTCCGGCCGCTGGCGGCCCTCGGGACCACCTTCGCCTCGGTGTCCACCCTCGGTGCGGATGGCCTGCCGAGTGTGGCGGACTTCCCGGCGGCCGATCTGCGCCAGCGGATCAACGAGTTTGTGGCCACCACCCTGACTCTGGCGGCCGAGCGGGCGGTCTTCGTAGACCGGTTCCAGCCGATCCAGGATCTGCTGGAGCGCTTCCGCGACGGGCCGGCCGCCCATGCGAAGGCCGTGCTGCTGGGCCTGCTGGAGCGTTTCGTCGAGGTGGAGCGCCTCTTCTGTGTGGAGGGCCAGTCCTTCGAGGATGTGCAGGAGTCCCTGCGGGCCACGCACTCGGAGGATCTGGACCAAGTGCATGCGGTGATGCTGGCCCACAGCAAGGTGGCCCAGAAGTGCCAGCTGGTCATGTCGCTGATTGACCACATTGCGGCCGCGGCTCCGGGCCCGGTGGACCCCTTCTATTCGGATGCCCTGCGGGCCATTGCCGAGCTGAGCGGGCGCCACCTGTCCAAGGTGGCCCTCCGTGCGCGTGCCCTGCTGGTGGAGTCCCTGCTGCCGCAGTATGAGGACCGCCTGTCGGAGATGGAGCTGGCCCTGGTTCGCGCGGTGTCCAGCAGCAGCCATGCTGCTGATGCCAGCCCGGCCGAGGGTGGCCAGTCCACTGGCGCGGAGGAGGACACCCTCCCGGTGGTGTCGCTCTCCTCGCCGTCGCTCCTGCAGTCGGAGTCCACCGGTGTGACGCCCTCCACGGGGGGAGGCACCGCCGGTGGCGCCGGTGATGAGGATGCTGCCACGGCGGCCGCCAGCACGGCCGACGATTCGGACGACGCGCTGGTCATCCGGATGCGGGATACGGCCGTGCGGGCGGCCCTCGGCGCGGCCCCCATGCGTCCGATGACCTCGCCGGCTGGCAGCCCCTTCGCCCTGCCGAAGTATGAGCAGCTCAAGTCCATCGTCGAGACCAACTACACGGTGAACGACGTGCTGAGCCCCTTCTTCTGCCATGAGAATCCGTTTGTCCGCGTGGCCGCTCTGGAGGTGTATGTCCGGCGTTCGTACCGGGCCTACAGCATTGACACGGTCAAGTACCACACTGGGTCCGGGTCCGGGTCGGCCGACCGGCCGGTGGCCCTCGAGTGGCGCTTCACCTTCCCGATTGTCCCGCTGGCCGACAGCGATGAGTGCACCCGGCCGCCGGTCAACCCCCCGGGTGATGGGCTGATGGCGGCGTCGGCCGACCTGGCCTTTGCCTCGGACCCCATGGGCACCGGGTTCGGCCTGACCTCCTCGTCGTCGGTGACGAACATGCGCGCGGCCGAGTCCTTCGCGGCCACTCGCAACATGAGTGTCTCGGACTTTGCCCTGCTGTCGCCGCACAGTGCCGCCCCCGGTGGCATTGGGCGCTTCAGCGGGAGCTCCTACTCGGCGGCGGCGGCGGCGGCTGCCGCTGCTGCTGCTGCTGGCGGGTCGCATTCGCGCTCGGCCTCGCAGCCACACACCCCGACCCTCAACCGGAGCAGCTCGCTGTCCTTCTCCACCACCAGCCTGGCCAACATGTACTATGCGCCGGAGCCGCTGCGTGTGGGGCTCATGTGTGCCTTCACTTCGGTGGCCGCGCTGGAGGCCGAGTTCGAGTCGCTGCTGTCGCTGTACCCCGAGGCGGGGGATGGCGCTTCCGGCGGGGCGGCGGGATCGGCCTCCGGCAATGCCGCCGGGTCCGGGCGTCCGGGCGCCGCCGAGTGCTTGAATGTGCTGAACTTGGCCCTGTCGCTGGATGCGGCCGAGGGCGCCGACGATGGGACCCTGCTGGATGATGTGCTGCATCCGTTCCTGGCCTCGCGCAAGATGCTCCTCCGGGGCCGGTCCATCCGCCGGGTGACCTTCGTCATCCTGCGGCCGCGCCAGCAGCCGGGGTACTTCACCTTCCGCGAGCGGAATGACTTCGCCGAGGACCCGGTCATTCGCCATGTGGAGCCGGCGCTGGCCTTCCAGCTGGAACTGTCGCGCATGTCGCACTACAATGTGCGCGCGGTGCTGACCGAGTCGCGGTCCATCCACATGTACAATGCCGTGGCCAAGGGCAACCCGACGGATGAGCGGTTCTTCATCCGGGCCCTCATTCGGCCGGGCTTGCTGAAGGACAGCGAGGCCCCGGTGCCGTACATGATCAGCGAGGCGGACCGCGTGGTGTCAGAGATGCTGGATGCCCTGGAGCTCCAGCTGCCGGAGCATCCCGGTGCCGATTGCAACCACCTGTTCATCCACTTCCTGCCGACGGTGCGCTACAGCACGGACAAGATCTTCGACAACCTGACGGACTTCCTGACCCGCCATGGTCGGCGGATGTCCCGTCTGCGCGTTACCTCCGGCGAGATTCGCATGACCCTGCGCCTGGGGGATGAGGTGGCCCCGACGCCCATTCGCTTTGTCATTTCCAACTTGACGGGCTTCGTGTTGAACATTCACTCCTATCGCGAGGCGAAGAATGACCGCCGTCGTGATGTGCTCATTTCCCTGATGGACCATGGGCCACTGCACAACACCCCGGCCGATGCGCCCTACCCGGTGCGGGATCCGCTGCAGCCAAAGCGCCATGCCGCTCACAAGGCCGGGACGTCCTACATTTATGACTATCCGGAGCTCATTCAGCAGGCCCTGCTGCAGGTGTGGGACAAGTTCATCCAGGAGACCCCGGCCATGGCTTCCTCGGTGCCGGCCCTGCATCAGCTGGTTCGGACTTGGGAGTTGGATCTGGATGAGCGCCAGCAGTCGGTGATGGAGGTCAATCGCCCGCCCGGGCAGAACACCATCGGCATGGTGGCCTGGCTGGTGGAGATTTGCACGCCGGAATTCCCGGCCGGGCGTCGGATGATCCTCATTGGCAATGACATTACCCATGTGATTGGGTCGTTCGGGCCGCGGGAGGACATGCTCTTCCTGCGTGCCAGCGAGCTGGCCCGGCGTTTGGGCCTGCCGCGGATTTACATTTCGGCCAATTCCGGTGCGCGCATCGGCATGGCCGATGAGCTGGTCAATTGCTTCCGCGTTGCCTGGACCGATCCGCAGCAGCCGGCTCGCGGCTTCCGGTATCTGTATGTCACGCCGGAGGACCATGCGCGTTTGACTTCGGACCCCTTGCGGCCGTCGCTTCGTGCGGAGCGTCTGGTGGAGCAGGTCCCCTCGGCGGCCGATCCGGCGGTCATGCAGGAGGAGGTGCGCTATGTCATCCGCGATGTGATTGGCCGTGTGGATGGCATTGGTGTGGAGAACCTCCAGGGCTCCGGTGCCATTGCCGGGGAGACGTCCCGCGCGTATGAGGACATCTTCACTTTGTCGGTGGTTACCTGCCGGTCGGTGGGCATCGGTGCGTATCTGGTGCGCCTGGGTCAGCGGTCCATTCAGAACGAGGGGAACCCCCTGCTGTTGACCGGTGCCGGGGCCCTGAACAAGGTCCTTGGTCGGGAGGTTTACTCCTCGAACTTGCAGCTGGGCGGCACGCAGATCATGTACAACAATGGTGTGTCCCACTTGACGGCCAGCAATGACTTGACCTCCATGCGCATGGTCCTGGACTGGCTGGCCTTCGTGCCGTCCTACCGGAATGGGCCGCTGCCCATTTTGCCGGAGCAGGCCCTCCGGGACCCGGTGCACCGGCCGGTGGCCTGGGCTCCGCCCGCCACCGGTCCGTATGACCCGCGGCACTTGATCGAGGGCGGTCCGGACCCGGAGACCGGGGACTTCCTGCCGGGGCTCTTCGACACCGGGTCCTTTGTGGAGACCCTCGGTGGCTGGGCCAAGACCGTGGTGGTTGGTCGGGCCCGTTTGGGCGGCATCCCCATGGGTGTCATCGCGGTGGAGACTCGCACCGTGGAGGCGCATATCCCGGCGGATCCGGCCAATCCGGAGTCCCAGCTCCAGACTCTGACCCAGGCCGGGCAGGTGTGGTACCCGGACTCGGCGTACAAGACGGCCCAGGCCATTCGGGACTTCAACCGGGGCGAGGAGCTGCCGCTCATGATCCTGGCCAACTGGCGCGGGTTCTCCGGCGGCCAGCGGGACATGTTCGAGCAGATCCTCAAGTTCGGGTCGTACATTGTCGATGCCCTGGCCGAGTACCGGCAGCCGATCTTCGTGTACCTGCCGCCGCGGGCCGAGCTGCGCGGTGGTGCGTGGGTGGTCCTTGACTCGACCATCAACTCGGATTACATTGAGATGTATGCGGACCCGAACTCGCGTGCTGGTGTCCTGGAGCCGGAGGGCATTGTGGAGATCAAGTTCCGCAAGCCCAAGCTTCTGCAGGCCATGTCGCGGCTGGATGCCACGTATGCGGATCTCCTGGCGCAGCAGCAGCAGCAGCAGCAGCAGCAGCAGTCGGCCGACTCGACGGCCGCCAGCAGCCTGCAGCCGCGTGTGCTGGCCCGGGAGAAGCAGCTGCTGCCCACCTACCATCAGATTGCGGTGCACTTTGCCGATCTGCACGATACGGCCGGGCGCATGCGTGCCAAGGGCGCCATTCGTGACATCATCCCCTGGGAGGAGGCTCGTGTGCGGTTCTACTGGCGTCTTTGCCGGCGCCTGCAGGAGGAGCGTCTCCTCCGGGCGATCCTCGGCGCGGCCGGGACTCCGACCCAGCTGGCCGAATCGTCGAACCCGTCGGCCGCGGCCCTGGCCATGGCCAGCGCCATTCCCGGCAGCCCGGCCAGCGAGTGGACTCGCATCCGGGCGCGGGCCACCCTGGCGGCCTGGTTCGCCACGGACCTGGATTCGGCCGGGCCCGGGCACATGTCCACCGATGAGAAGCCGGACTTCGAGTCCAATGACCGGCAGGTGGTCGAGTGGATCAACCAATTCCACGCGGCCATCGTCGGCCGTGTGGCCGAGATCGAGGCGTCCGAGCGCCGGCTGCGTGTCATGCATGCCACCCTGGCCACCGGGGAGGATGCGGTGGCGGCCCTCACTTCGGCGGTGCTCTCCTTGAGTGCGGAGAAGCGCGCCGCTCTGATGGAGAGCCTCCGCGCGGCCGAGACCCCGGCCGCCACCTCCAGCCCGAGTCTCTAAATGCCGGGGGGGTAGAGCATAGGATGTCTCCTTCTTCCCTCCCCTCCCTTTTGCCCCCCCCCCTCCCCTTTTTCGTCCCTCTCCACGTCTCTTCTCCCTTCCTCCGTCATTTTCTTTCCCCTGTTCCCTCGGGGCGGGGTGGGGAGGGAGAGAAAGAGAAAGCGGGGTCTCCCCCTCTCTGGAGTTTCGAGTTAGATGTGCACGTCTATTACAAGG